AACTGGAGACCTCTGTGGACAGGGCAGTGGTGACCTAGGAATTCCTGCGTGTAAAACTCCTTTACTCCTTGGAAAGGCCCCAGGGTCGCTCTGTTCCTTGAGAGAGAGCATTCATAGCTCCCCTCCCATCCAAATTGGGGTATTTGAAGAAGCAATGTGGCACAAACTAAGGTCAGCTCAAATGGAAACATACCTCCTGGACTGGCTAGTGCAAGCCAGCGAGGCTCTGGAAGTGGCAGATGTCACACAATTGTCTCCCTCACCTTAGGGCTGTGCTGCAAAAGTCCTCCCAGATAATGATGTTATTATTCACCTATTTTGACAATCTTTATGAAACCCTTTCATAAAAACTCACACTCAGTCTCTCGTGCAATAAAAATAACTTCAAAAATGTTTTAAACACTAGAAGCATAAAAGAACAGAAGCAGAGATGAAAACAAAGCCACAAAGCACGGTAGAATGGATAAAACCCACAATCAGGGCCACACACTGAAACGTACCCGCCTGGATGGATACAACCTGGTACCATACAACTTCAAAATCAGCACCATGCAAATCTCTCCTTGGTCACTACATGCTTTTCCCAAAGGCTGGGAGAGATGAATTCAACCAAGCCTTGTGGGACACCATTCCATAGCACTGAGGGTATAAAGGTCCTGGTCCTTCCTCATGATCACCTCACTTCATGTCATAAGAGTTGTAGGAGCTTGGATGAGAAACCTTTACCTAGAGGAAGATGTTCTCTGGAGAATGGAGGTCCTAGACCATGGAGAACTTTAAACTGAGGCCCTCTGCCAAACAGATGAGCAGCTCATCAATGTTTACGGCACTTATCTTTTGGCAGACCAACATGCGCTTGGCCTTCAGCAAGAGGCGGACAGGAATCCTCCTGCATTGAGGCCATTATCTCCATAGAAGCAAGATGGACCTCTCCAAAGTGAGGGAAAGCAGACGGTCGTATCTAAAATATAATAATCTATCAATTGGAAGTTACAAAGGCTTTGTGTTTTGGAGAATTGATTAAAGCTGATAAAAGGCATTTTCCAAGAATGTAATTTTCAGCTTGTGTAGATTAAAAAAAAGTTTCATTTATAGAAACGTAACATCTTAGAGATGACTACACAGATAGAACTGGGTAATAATGTTGATACACACAACTTAAATGCACCTACAGCTTTATTTAAAAAATAAAGCTCTATAGAATAATTCTATTCACAATCGTACTAATTGTCTTTTTTTAAAAAAAGCTACAAATGCAATTTATATTTGTGGAGGCAAATTCTTGTATATGGACCTGGTAAGGGCCAGCACGGGCTGTGTGGTATTTGCCTGCATGGAGGCAAACAGGGACACTTGTGAAAAGGAGCAAAAGAGCGTAAATTCAAATCTGTGGTTGATTGATAAAAATGCAGGTTAATAGCCTGATGCTATACTATTGCAAATAAGTCCTAGACATAAGGGGGTATAGTATTATGCTGTTGTGCTGTGAACCTCTGCATGTTTACGAGGGAATCAGTTCCACTGAACTCCGTAGGATGTGCTTCTGAGCAAACACGCATATGCTTGGGCTCCACAATGGTTCAATTGTAGATGAAGAGGTTGGGCATGAGCAAAAATCACACACATTGCCATGGGAGCAATAGGAAAAGAGATACACATGTGTGTGTTTGCGAGACAGCCCTTAACAATGTGACGAGTCCCACATGAAGGCGCCTCTAGCAGTGTGAAGAAACTGTAAAAGCCAACTGAGAAATCCCATGGGGATTTCCTTTTATTCCAGACAGAAGCACATCCTTCACAAGGCTTTATGCCAGTCCTTTGCAGAAGCTGGGCATGGACTTGAGGACACCCATTTGAAGCAGAACAACGTCGACGTAGATTTGGGTGGCTTTGAGAGTAGAGTGACACAACCCTCAAGACAAAGGCAAGGGTGAAAAACTTCAGGCTGGGGCCAGATCTGGCCCTTTGGGGTTCCCCAACTGGGCCCACCCCAACATCCTGGCTTCTCCCACTTTCCGGACTGTTCAGCGGCTTCCCAGCTTTTATGCATTTTCCTATCCATACTTAAAGATTGAGATGCCTTCCCAAAGGCTTAATACTGGGCTTCTCTTTGAATAAGACAGTGGGCTGCAATTCTCTTGCTGATTCACCTTCTCTGTCCAAAGTGGTTTAGGGCAAATCTCAAAGTACATATTATAATGGAGGGAGTCCGACTACTTTCAGGATGAACCCCTGTCCTCTGTGGGGATTTATGTTAGTTGGGTGTGGCCACACATCAATGGCTGTGGCCATGGCACATGATGCAATTTATTTATTAGATTTCGATCTCACCTGTTTTCTTGCAACAAACTCAAAGTGGCTTGCATCATTCTCCTCCTCCTGCTTTCAATCTTACCCCCACAACCACCACCCTGTAAGGTAGGCTGGGCTGAGAGTCTGCGACAGGCCAAAGTCACTCAGGTGGCTCCATGGCTGACCAGGGACTAGAACCCAGATCACTGGAGTCCCAGACCCACACTCTTCACCACTGCACCACACTGGCTCACTTTGCTCCTTCACCGGGGAACAGGCTTAAGATCTGCCCCCGGAGGAATAGCAAGAGGCTGTGTGGACCAGATTTGGGTGCCCTGTTTATAACAGGGGCTCCAAACCTCCAGCCTGGAGGATTAGGCCTGCGAGCTGCTGCTGCTGCACCTCCGTTATAACCAGTGAAAGAGAAACACAGGGTGAAATGGAAATCCTTAAGGAAAGCGCCTTGCCTGGCTTTTCAGTGTGAAAGGAGGCACTCTAATGGCTGAGTTCTTGCTGATGAACTCTCACAGCTTACATTATGAATAAAACTAATGCTGATGTGAGACCTGTACTTAACAACTAGTGCCAGGATGATCCTTACTGAGTTTAAGGCTCAGAGTAACCACTGAAGATGATACTGATATTTAGTACTGATTATTCCCATTTTACAAATAGGAAAACTGACACTTGCCAATCAGAGTGCAATCAGTCAGAAGAAGTACAGTCCAATCCTTTGCACTTTCACTTAGACATAAGCCTTGCTGGGTTTAATTGGGCCAACTTTCTAGTAGGCCTAATTTCTCTAAGAAAGCAATTCTATAGTCTCCCAACAGTCAGGCAGAACATAGGATTTTTCGGAGTCCAAGCATCTGTGCCATGAGAGTGAGAAGACTGTGCTCTAAGTGTATTACAGCCATTTGAAAATATACCCAGAAGTCATCAAGTACTTAAAATCGGACTTGCTACTTGCCTCAGTGCACTTTGGGTTTTCTTAATTGGTTCTTCTCCCCCCTCCCCGCCCCCTGTGTCCCACCGCCGGCTAGCTGGTTCCTCACCCACATGATGTCACTGGTGATGTCACTTGTTAAAGGGACAGAAACAATGTGGCACGTAAACGTGAAGAAAGATATCATGACATAAAGTGCGGATGACACTCCACTTCATCAAATGCATGTAGTGTTACCCTGAATTACAGGATGGTGGCTGGCTATGCACATCGGGTGGATGTTTATAAAAAGGGCGGTGGGAGGCAAATGAAGTGGGGGAAGTACGGGCAGTGACAACCATTTACAGCCCTCCCCCCACTCAAGATAACATTTCATCCACTTGATAAAAAGTAGTTCACAAAATTTATGTTGTTACACAGGTGCGTATCTGAAGGTGGCTGGGGTTTTGTTGTTCGTTTCTGCTGCCACCGACTAACACAGACTCCCCTTCCGTAAAACATAAACAGAGAAGCCTTCCATGGAAGTTCCGAGGAAACTTGCCTAGGATTGGGCGTAGACTTAAAACACAATCACTAAACAGAAAGTCCCCCGGAGCTTAACGGGATGGCTGTCCTAACGCATCCGACCTATTCCCAAGGAAGGGCTTCACTTTATTTGCTAACACTCGATTAAGCTCTTAAGGCGTGAGCAGGAGGGCGGCAAAAGTACTTTTTGGAGGAGAGCTGCTCAGGATCGTGCTGGGCGAAGAAACCCTTCTTGAGCAAGGGAGCGCCGCTTTCGAAGAATTAGAAGCGGGGCGGGTGGGGAATGAAATGCAGCCAGGAGGAAAGGCGAGTCGAAGCTCTGTATTCGCACTTCGCCTTGTCCGCGCCGCCGCCGCCGCCAGCCGGCATCCTCCGTGCGATCCCTTGACGGCGCGCCGCCCTTCCCGGGTCGGGAGCCCCACGGCACGCTTCCCCGCCGTATGCGCGCCCGGCTCGCCTTGCGACCAAAGCACGCGAGCGAGAGGCTCGGGCGGCAGCTCGCCGCGACCGCCCAAAGGGCGCCGAAGCGAGGCGAGCGGGATGTGCAGAGGCGTCCTGGCCGCCGCCGCGCTGCCGTAGGAGCTGGAGGCGCCGCCGCCGCCGCCGCTTATTGCAAGGGGGAGGGGAAGGCAGAGGCGCTCACCGGCGCTGGGGCGGCCGGGCGGGGCGCGCACGGGGACGCAGCCATGGAGCCTCCCCGGCGGCAGGGAAACGACCCGGGCGGCCAGAAGTCTTCCCGCGGCTGCAGGAGGGGCAGGCGAGGCTGGGAGCGGGCAGCCCAAGTCGCCAAGTTCCCGCGGGCCCTCCCGCGGCCGCACGAGGGGAGGGAAGGATTCCTGGCTGTTCTGCCGTGACCTCCCGGCCACCTCCAGGCACTGCTTGCCTGCTTCCTTGCGAGCGACAACCCGACTCTGTAACCTGACCTGCGCAGCCAGGGCCTGCCTTGTGCGGCGGCGGCGGCGGCGGCGGCAGCGCGGCCATTGAGCTCGGCCCGCGCTCTCGCCCATGAATCTGGTGCGCGGCTCTGTGCCTCCCCCCCAGCGCACCCGCCGCCTCCACCCCCCCGCTCCTCCTGTTTTGGGGGGCGGGGGTGTTGAAAACTGATCTTTGGCTCTTCGTGTGAAAGTGATTTGAATTTGGCTCGGCGGCGCTCTGCGCAGGCGTTCAGCTGCTGGCATGCTGGCTCTGTGCAAAGCAGCTGTTTTGGGTTTGAAATTCCAACATGGCAGAGGCTGCAGTCAGTCTTCCCTTCAAAAACTTGGAATGATTTCAAATCATAGGCACCTTCACTTAACCCGAGCCCCCATTCATCAACGCACAGATAGGATCGATTCTGCTTTAACCTACCGGGCTTCTCTACCAAACCTCCAGGTAAGATCTTCCATTGCTATTCCTCTCCCTTCCCCCGCTCCCCCCGATTGTTCTGTTTTAACATTTTTTAAATCATTTTAAATGCCTCGCAGACGGCTTTAAATTTCCTGCCGCGTGCGCCTTTTAAATATTAAATCTAAGCGCGAATATTTATTTATAGGAAATACTCCAGCCTGGTTTATTATTGCCCCCCTCCTTTTTTAATTCTCTTCTAAGCGCAGTGAGGAAAGTAGAGAGAGAGAATCGCGGTGGATGGTTTTTCCTTCCTTGATCATTGCTAACAATAGTAGGGAAAAGAGTTCGCGATTGCAAGATTTATAACTCCCCCCACTCCTTAATGGACTTTCACTTCAAGTGGGGCTCCTCTTTATTTTTCAAGTTCTAATCAAAGCCATAACGGGTGGAAAAGATGGGACTTGAGTAAATTCGGGAGAACTAACTTTTAAGCAAATTAGTGGAAATAAGGATAGAAGGGAAGGGAAAAGTTAGGGTTAAATTGCAGTATTTTAGTTAAGGGTGGGGGGCGTGAATATGTCAGAGAAGCTGATGCAGTAAAATGTAAGCACATCATCATGGGGGGGACCCGGTGGGCGTATTGTTGCCTTGGAACAGAGAGAAAGATGTATAATTTAATGGTATATACAATCCACTGATCCTATTACTGTCCTCCCTGGAGCTCTTGTTAGTTTCAATGGGAAGTGAGTGAAATTGACATGGACTTGTATTCGTGGTCATGTGCTCTCCCTCCCCCCCCCTTTCTTTCTTCTCCTGTGATCTGAGATCTCCTTTTTGTTGATGTTGCTTTCCCATTTAATTATATGCATGTAGGTTAAATGAATACCTGACGAAAGGGACCACGTTTCAAGGCAGTGACATTTGATAGCTGAGAGGAAAAGTGGCTTTAATGAAAAGCAACCTTTGGAATTCCTGCTTGTGAGGAGGAGGAAGAGGAGGAGGAGAAGAAGAAAAATCCAATTCAGCTTTTTTGTGCTGCCAGCGAGAAATGATCAGTAGCACCAGTGTTTATGGTATGTCTGCTTTGGAATCTACTTCCTCCTGTTTTCTTTTTGCATCTAAATAATGATGTTTTAAAGAGCATGCTGAAAAACCTTTGAGGACTTTGCATGTGGATATGGCTAGCGATGTTAATGCCTGATATTAGTGGTAAAGCTTCAACTGTATAAACAAACAATTGTGTGCGTGCGTGTGTGTGCACTGTGTTATCATGTGGTTTCCAGTTGTGTTGATTGTAGTCCTACTTTTGTTCCCGGTCATAAACCGAAAGTTGCATGTTACCAGTAGTGCACTGTGTACACTCAAATAGTATGTAAATTAGTAAACTCACTGACTGTAAAAGGAGGAGGGGAAAAATCATGCACACATCTGTGCTTAAACACATGGATAATGCTTCCTTTTTTCATCTTAAAGTAAAAGTGGTTAGTTTTGCTGTACTACAGTTGCTATGTTCCCCTCTTACTTTTTGTGTGGGTTTTAGCTTAGGATAGAATTATATGCTTCATATGGATACAATAACCAATTCTTTCTCCTTCCCCTGCGCCCAGCAGCCTAGAGTTTTAATAATGGCCTGTATATTTTCTGGCCTCTTTTCCCATATAGCTGCTTGTCATTGCTGTATTGCACAATGCAATGATCAGGTGCTGAAACAGACTTTTAAAAATATTGTAAGAGGACACATTCAACCTTCAAAAATAAGGGGGAGGGGAGAAGTCTGATGAAATGGAGCAGGAAGGATTTCAACCTATCTTTCCGATGCAGTGTACACATGTTGAGGTACAGAAGCCTGGAGAACTCCGGCGGGTTTATTTTCTGCACACAAACCTGCACGCAGAAATTAGGCATTTGTGGGGAGGGGGCAGGCATGGGGCTAGACCTGCTTTTCATAGCTCTGGGCAGAAACAAATAGGTGCAGGGCAAAAACTCATGGCCAGTGCTGGTGCTGCATGGGGAGCAGGGGGCTCGGGTGTAGTTGCTGCTCTGGCGACAGTGCAGACCTGAATCCAAACCCGCATCCCAGCTTGAGGACATTTGCCCAGCATGACCTCCCAGGTGGATGCTGTGGGTGCCCACAGAGCTCCACAGGAACCCCGAGCTGCTCTTTCAAGGAGAGGGATGATCTGCGTGCATCGTCTAATTTTTATTTCATCTCATTTTATTTTTTGGCGTTGGGACTTGTTGACTTTGAGGTGATCAATACGGCAACTGTTTATTTTAGAGACATGTTTTCAGCGGGGAGGGCGGTGAGGGGAGAACAGGAAGACTGGGCTTTCTCTCCCCCCCCCCCCGCTTCTTTCCCAAAGCTGTTGGAGCGAATGTGATTGCCAGATGGGAGATTTCCCTCTGTGATGTTAAAGCTGTAATATATATTCACAGCAGATTGGACCTGCTGCTTGTGATGAGGATATTACATTTATAAATTTTAAATCGGGAATTGGATGGTGTGCTGAGAGCTGAAATTGGATGGGGTGGATGGTGGCCACTGTTTAAATGCAATTCCTGGAGGAGGAGGAGGATGATGATGATGATAATTCTAGCAGTCGTAATGTACAGTAATCATAGCTGGACTGCATTGCTTTGTATATGGCACGGCACGTGTCTCCTTCGCCCTCTCCCAGCAGCCCAGCATGTGCCCTCTTACTTCTCAGTCGAATGTCTGGGCTGGGGAAATGCTTTTGCAGCCACCCCAGTTGTCGGACTGGGGTAGGGGAGAAAAGGGGAGAGAACAAATGTCATCAGTTCTGCGACTGAATTAAAGCGAAACCAAATGCAGTGATTGTTGTGGGCAGATGCCACGAGTTACTGTTTTTGTTTTGCCTGGTGATGTGGTCTGTCAGAGGTAGATCACCCACCCCCCTGAAAAGCTGGAGAGTCGGAGTGAGGAGTGAGTCACACTCCAGCAGTTCTGCTGGTGCAAATTAAAAGTATGTTGTGGTCAGGAAATGAAAGCTACTGTGTCTTTTTTGAGCGAGTCGTTTATCAAGGAGAACATCTATCAAGCAGCTACTTGTCACAATTATGCTCTGAAAAAGTTAGGGCTGAGTTGGGGAATCTGCTTGGAAGTGACCCCCTCTCCCCCGCTTTCTCTTTGCGTATCTCTGCCTATTTATCTATCTGTAAGGAAGAATACTGGTAAACGGGACTGATACAGGCTCTCTGTGCGTGTGCTTTTTTTTTTTCTTTCTCTTCTTAAAGTCTTGTTCTGGGAGTGACAAATCCAGCAAATCCTCTTTATAGTTGTGGTTCTGCTTAACATAAGGAGAGATCTGATATAGTTTGTTTTTTTTCAGGTAAAGCTTCAGACATGGAACATGTTGCCTTTATGTTCAGAGTTCAGACTTTCTTTTCTGTGCTTCTGTATGCTGCATCTGCAAGGCATGTATTTCATTTGGAAAACTGATGGAATAAAACACATCTTTTAAAGTGTGGTTGCAGGGTGGTTTAGGCAGCAAGAGCAAATGCCAATCTCTGATTTTTGATCCCTCTTCTGTGTTCTGTTGTATTTGTCATTGCCTCTTGTATGGAAATCTTTTTCCAATGTTAATATTTATGGCAAGGAATTGGCATTGCTTTGCACCACACCAGGAGACCCATTAAGAACATCTTCCCCATTTATCGCGTCTCTTTGACAAATGCACTGTTTGTGAATTCTTACTGTAAGCAGTGGTTTGCTGGACAGGATATAGAGAAACAGATAACGAAGCACCGTTCTAAACATCCTTTACAAATTGACACTGTAGGTTAAGTTTTACTGGACTCCAGATGAGTTCTTAGCTTCCTTTGCTAGACAGATTTTTATTCACAGGAGTGTGAAGTGTCCCTTGAAACAGACTACTTGGGGAGTGGCGTCCCACCCCACCATTGTACCTGAGGAACAAGTGCCATTTGTGGCCACTTATTCTCAGATAATAAACCCAATTGTCATTTAAGTGCTGGCGAGTGTTTATATTTACTGATGAATCCCATCCGATTCACAGGAGTTATGCTGGCGAAGGGTTGTAGTGTGATGATTTGTAACAAGATGTTCTTGCGATGCAGAGCTTGCATGTCCAAATTGTCATTCTTCTGCCCCACCCCCGCCCTCAACTACAATAATCCACTGTATTGGGGAGAGACTGGGCTGTGTGTCACTTACCTAGCATACAAGCTGGTATTTACTACTGGGCAATGTGCAGTGCCTTCGGGCACTGTGCATGGAAGAGAGCAAAACACAATGAATGGCAGCCTTAGTCATCCCCACTCCACCCAAATGGCTGCTACATCAAGGAACTTTTCTCCAACTCCTTTCTGATGCACACAATCAACATGAGAACTCAATTAGCCATTATTTCCCAGTGTGTGTTGTGCTAAAATATATTCCGTAGGCATCTTAAAGTAAAAGTGAGGCTATCTTTCTGTTCGGATGGTGTTTTTCATGGCCACTCTTGCAATTTTGAGAGTTTATCTGTTTGTTTCTATTGATGGATTGCAGGTGTTTCTCCGCCTTCCAGACTTCTAGGCAGCAGAATTTGAACATAGAAGTTCAACTGTTTATTGTGCATGACAATTCTGAAAGTTTGATGTGTTTAGGTGCAAGCAATTTAGACATGCTTTTAAAAGACTGCTTTCAGAAAATGATCGTTCTGACCCGTGTGTGGTTGTCAATTAGTTTGCTCTTTATGTGCATATTTGGATGTAATGACTGATCTTCCTGTAGTCTTAATCATCAATTAATCAGCTAATCTGCTTGTTTAGGAGCCATTTTAATGATACGAAATCAGCACAATAGCTATACACAGGAAATGCTTGCATGTTGACTTTAATCCGCTAGTATAGTATTACTAGATCCAATAAGAGAAATGGGGGTGTCTGTACCCTCAGTTGATATACGCATTTATAAAAAACAAACACTGCATTATCTATAACTTTATAAAAAGTGATAGATTTATTGACATAATGTTAATTAAATGAATTTCATCATGATTTATTGAAGGAGGGGAATTGTTCAATGGGCATTTTGTCAAGTCATAGAGCATTTTTGCTGTCGATGAGCATAATAGCCTATGTCATCACTGTATTACCTCTTCTTTGCTCTCCTCTGCCCTAGAGCCATTGATAAACAAAGATAAAAATAAATCAACATTTAAGATGAACTACCTACGCTTTTTTTTCATTCCTACATTATTTTGCGTGGCTTGTTTTGTGAGTTAGTAATAATAGAGTAACTGTGAACTTATTGATTTAGCCATAGCTGCTATTAACATAGTTCTTTTGACTTGGGTGGATGCATAGGGATAAGCTAGGTATTAGGCCCAAATTAAAAAACAAAATGCTGTGGATTTATTGAAGATTTTTCCCTTAGTCACATTTCCAATTATAGCTTGGTATCAATATGTATAATTTTACAGTGCAGTGTTATGCATATTTACAGAGAAAAAAGCCTCTCTGTTTTCAGTGGAGTTTACTCCTTTGTAAGTGTGTCTTAGGATTTCAGGCTAAGTTTTTATTTTGCAGTAGATCTTTTTTCCCCCTCTAAGCTTTAAAGTTCAAACTCATGATTGCGTGTTATGGCTATTGTTACAGGATATTAAGTTCTTTCTGCTAGAGGTACTCTCTTTTACAGTGGAAGCTGATTTGCCTTATGGGAAAGATTGTTTCTGGGAACTGTAAGTGTTGCAGGGAGTGGGAAAGGTCTGGAGTATTCTGATTAACATCTCTACTCAGGAATAACTCAATTGCATTCAGTGGATCTTACTCCTGGGTAAACAGCTGTAGGATGGGAGCCTCATGATAGTCCCAACAAATAGATTTCAGCACTAGTGTATGTTCCTGTTATAAATGAGTTCACATTTCTATATAGCATTTGACCAATTTGCTTGGTATACGGTGTGTGTCTCTGTGTGTAATATATGTTTTAGAGCTCATGTTTGGAGAGAGGAAATGTGTGCACTCTCTCATTTATATGAATAAAATTTCATATAAATTTTATTTGCAAGGACTGATTGTACTTCTGGGTATGGATATGCAGCCTACT